GCATTAATGGCTCAGAATCGCAGTTTCCAATTGTGCGTTTAAACGCGTTTTTCAAAATTTTTGTCTGGCTGGGTAGGGATGTCCATCTCACGCTCATGAGCGTGAGCATTTTCCGTCTCTCTCAAATAGGAGAGGAAGCTTACTCATCAGTTACGTTACCAAGTAGCTAGTAACGGAAGTTTTGCGAATTTATCACACGAAAAGTAATTTTCTAAAATAACGATTTTTTATAAAGTTTGATCAAAGACAATCGTGATCAAAGAATTCGAATCTGTAATCGGTTTCTCAGAATTTTCAGTTTGATTGTTTTTGCTAAAAAAATATTTCTTAGTAAAGAAAATCAAACTGAAAATTTCGGGGAACTGATTACAGACTAGGATTCCTTGATCGAGATTATCTTTGGTCAAAGTTCATAAAAATTTGTTATTTTTAAAAGATTACTTCCCGTGTGATGAATTCGCAAACTTTCTGTTACTAACTACTTGGTAACGTAACTGATGAGTACGTTCCCTCTCCTATTTGAGAGGGAGAGAAAATACTTATGCTCATGAGCATGAGATAGAAACCTCTAGGGAAGAGTGAGCGATTCTCATTTGAAACATGGTATGACTTTGAAATAGCGTCTCAGAAAGATGCTTCAGTACACAGTGAGACTTAAATGGCGTCAAGAATATCACAAAAAAACTTTCGTGCTTGTTAATATACTTTTTAATGAGAAAAATCTCTCTGAATATAAATTATATGACTCTAGAACTCTTCCAGTCATATAATTTGTTGTAAAAGTATCCTTCATTCATGTATTTTATCGTTATTTTATAAAGTAATACTAAAGGACAACCCCTAAATGCCATAATTTTCCCATCATAAGAAATCAAGTGTTATTGGTAGTTTGTTCTTATAAATTGTTCTATTCTTTTAATAACTGAATGACTATGTATCGAATAATGAGATGATGATAGAATGTCATAAATGAAGAATAGGAAAGAAAAAATACAGAGTAAAAAGAGATAACGAATAGCAACACGACATGGGATGTCCAATTTGTAGACGAGAAGAAAGAAAAAAAAAGGAATGATAAAGAACAATAAGAAAGAAGCGAGAAAATGTGAAATGACATGTACTTACAACAAAGGAAAAATCCTTATTATGCAAGATGACATGACTCAACCTGTCATGGTATTTCATTTGTGAGAAAAAACCCATTAGTACATCAATATATAAGGTCTAATTGTAGAATAAAAAAACATTTGAAACAAAAACTATCTAGTTAATAAGCCTACGACCATATTTCAACATTCAAACATGACAACAATAATGGAACAATCATCTTGCTTCTCACCGCATATGAACTTGAACGAGCGAATTATTCACTTGAAAGAAGATGTAGATAAGCGAGTGAAGAAACTCTCTGCACAATTGATGTCTCAGAGAATGTATTCATCTAAAGATATGTTTATGGCTGGTTTCCGTTATACTGGCGACGGTGATACCATTCGTTGTGACACATGTCAATTAGAAGTATCTGGATGGACTCAAGACATGCAACCAAAGATTGTGCATGCTGAACGTAGTCCGAAGTGTCCATTTGTTTGTTCGATAGTATCAAAGTCTTTCATGGAATCCAATGATCAAGAAAATCCTACCAAACGTCAAAAAACAGAATCAAATTCTGATCAATGTAAATATAATGGTAAATTGATGGAAGTAAACAAACTTAAGCAAATACGTCGTCGAACATTTTCTCATTGGTCTCATCAAATAAAGCCATCTGCTGAACAAATGATTGATGCTGGTTTTTTTTCATGCAATGTCAGCGATCGTGTTATTTGTTTATATTGTAATTTGATTTGTCAACAATGGAAAGCAGGTATCGATGATCCATCTGAAGTACATAAAACTCTTTCGCCAAAATGCCCATATGTTTTATCAAAACTGATACCATCAGAACGATCTTCTGCTGTGATTCTAAATGCAATATTAACAAATAATCTAAATAATCAAACCTCTGGATTAACTAGTGCTGCACAACTTCAATTTGATCAAATTGTTCATACAACACCTTATAATCCTGCGTATAGTGATATTACAAAACGTCTGCAATCATTTACAACATGGTCTCATGAATCATCACCACCAGTAGATGAATTAATTCGAGCTGGCTTCTTTTATACAGGTGCTAGAAATATTGTAACATGTTTTTATTGTAATGGTTCATTACAAAATTGGAATATCAATGATAATCCATTAATTGAACATGTTCGATGGTTTCCTCATTGCGGTTATGCAAAACAAGTGGGTGGTGATGAACTTTATCGAAAAATTCAAGAAGCAAAACGAGCTCTACAAGGTAAATTATAAACGTGCTTTATTTTTAAAAAGAAAAACATGATTTGTTTTTTTCAGACACTAATAGAGCTAATCCACGAAATGAGATAAGAGAAAATGATAATTTATTTGGTTCAAATCAATGTCAATTACAAATAAATGATCCTAATATATTATCACGTTATGTCGCTGCTCGACTTGATTTATCGAGTTCGCAACATTTACTTGATCAAAACTTCAAGCTATCAGTTATAAAACGTTGTTGGGAAGATCAACTACAATTAAAAAGTAAGTAAGTTACATGAAATTATTAATATATTAAGCATTGTTATCTATTTATTTAGAAGACGATTTTGTCAACGATAGTGATCTATTAGTAGCTTGTATTGTTCTACAAAAGCAAATTGATCATATCCAAGGTAACAAAGACAATATCATTATTCCTAGTGTTCAGATGAAGTTAATTCATGAGAAACAACAATCTGCTTTATCCTCTTCACCAACACAAACAAACGATGACAATGCTGAAGTCTTACAAAATCAATCAGTTTCTGAGACATCTAAAATCGAAGGAACAACTATGGAAAGAAACAAAGAAAACTCAACCGTGTCAGAAACAAGTTCTACAAGGATCTCGACAATAGCTAATCCTTGTATTATCTGCCATCAAGACGAGAAACAGCTCGCTTGTATCCCATGTGGTCACTTAACAACGTGTGCTCAATGTAGTCGTACGCTTCGAACATGTCCAACATGTCGAAGACAAATCGAAGCATTTGTTCGTGTTTATATTTAAGATTTTATTTTATTCAAGAAAGATAATGGATGTCAGTCGTCATTCTCTTTATATTTGAACAATTGATTAGTCTATCAGTTGCATTTCATATACATGCTTATGTAGCTTGTTAATATACAAATAACCAAGATATTAATACAGTATAACCTATCATAGTGGACACCTCCTTATAGTGAACACTTCACCGACCGACGGAGTGTTTTTTGCTGGAACTGAATCTCTGCATAGTGAACTCTTCTATTTAGTGATGGACCGAAAGAGTTTCGGACGAAACGACATATCACGAAAGAAAATACAGATTCATGAAAGCGTAATGAAATAGGCTGAGTGATCGCGTTAGTGATACCAGTATATTTCGCATAGCTGTCGTGACTTTCGTTTGAATTACGAAAAATTTCGCACATTCTAAAATTTCTGGACCGCTCTTCATTACTCTCTATAGTTGATATTACTTCGGAGTTGCAGAAATTTCTCGATGAATATGACCAACAATTATGTGAAGGTTCATTTTATTGTCTCCATTCAATAGTCTCAACTCTATAATCTCATCTCCGATCTCGAATTACAATTAACTTACCTTTATGTGGGTTAAAAAGTGGCAAAATAGAGTCACTCAAAGATTATTTTAACAATTGTTGCTTTTTCTAGTTTTCAAAAAAGAAAAAATGAATGAAGAGGAAAGTAACAATGTGCTCTAGGTATTTACGTTGTTCATTAATAATCTTTAGGTACCTCGAAAATATGTCTATTCCTTCGAAAAAACTTTGTATTTTGAAAACACCTAACTTCTGTATAGTGGACACTTTTGAAAAGTCCCAAGGGTGCCCACTATAGGGAGGACATATAGTATTTAAATCCAAGAAATCTTTTCAATGGTATCTGAAACGAAATAATACATTTTTTTTCTCAAAATAAAATATGTTATGGTACCATGCGAAAAATAAAAATGTGAAATGTCTAAGCATCATTACTTCTTATTCTGCATAGGATATAATATTATATTCCAAGATTTGTATTTAAATTGAGGGTAAATATTTAATTGAACAGAATCGATTTGATGAATGAATAGACCAATTGCTCGAAACTACACACTGACACTAATCTATCAGCAGATATATAAAGATAATTGCTTGATTCTTTTTCTTTACTTTGTACACAAACAATATAAGTAAAACTCCCATCGGTAATATCGAAATATTTGTATTGAACAGTATCAAATACACCTGTAAAATTCAAACACCAGAGTATGATTAGAAGAATTTTATTCTAATGTATAAGAGATTTCTTGGAGTATCCCATGTAAACACCAGACGCAAAATATACGCGTCTAATCGCAGTTTGTTTGTAAACCGCGTTCAGACGCAGTAAAAATCGATTTTGACTGCGTCTGAACGCGTGTTCATTTGGCACCGCGTCTATACGCAGCTGAAAAGTTTTTTGAAATGCGTTTGAACGCGAGTGTAAATGAAAACGCGTTCAGACGCGGTTATAATTGGCTTTCACCGCGTTTGAACGCGCTTTCATTTAACACCGCGTCTATACGCAACTGAAAAGGTTTTTTGAAACGCGTTTCGACGCGAATGAAAATGAAATTGCGTTTATACGCAGCTGAAAAAGTTTTTTGAAATGCGTTTGGATGCGAGTGTAAATGAAACTGCGTTCAGACGCGGTTACAAATGATTTTCACCGCGTTTGAACGCGCTTTCATTTAGCATCGCGTCTATACGCAGCTGAAAAAGTGTTTTGAAACGCGTTTCGACGCGAGCGTAAATGAAGTCGCGTTCAGACGCGGATAGAAGTCGATTTCTATCCGCGTCTGAACGCAATTGCATCTAAAAAGCATCCAGGTGTGGTCATAAGAGATTTTGAACGATGACTGGAAGTGGTTTTCTATGAGACTTCATGCAAATGCGTTGGATAAAGAAATTTTCCAACGCGTCTAAATGCCGTTTGAGATAAAATGCACCTATATATGTTTATATGAAGTTATGAGCCATAGCCGAACGCATTTTTCTGTAGGACCTCGATTCTACGTGAGAAATAAAAATTGTATAGACAGATCTGAACGCAGTTTCATATGAAACCGTGTCCGTACGCGATTAGCCAAAAGCTGTTTAAAGGAAGTCGTACAATTTCATTTTCTGCACTCTAATGAAATTCAACAAGAATTGGAAGATATTATTAGTTTAAAAATTAAGGTGTTTCATGTATAAGAGAAAGGTTTTATAGTAGCTCAATAACTTTTTTAAAAACTTTATTTTTTTTAATGTATCAAGAAAGTTATACGAGTGATCACTATAATAATGAAACTAATTGTCTACTCAGTGCTATTTCTATTAATCGATAGCTTGCTTTCAAAATAATTGATAAATATCAACTACTTCTGCTGTTTTGTTTTGTTTTCCACCCTCCTGCGTACTATAAAGTTATTCCAGCTCACTTGAGTGATATTTTCAAATATATATCTAGTGAAAAATATCGCATATTTCCATTCATTTAACTAACCTAGATAACTTTCGAAATGAGAAGTTGAATAATTGTAAACAAAAAAGATAGCTCTGATTGAGTCAGTGAAATGCATACATGAATGAACTAACATGGCATCTTGTCGAGCATCTTAAATCCATGGAAATTGATAAATAAACTGACTTATTAAAATCTTGACTTGTGATAATTGTTCAGTAATAATGGTTTTTCATTCTCAAAGGTGTGCTGCAATAGCAAATAATAAAAATGTCGACAATATTTCTCTCGTAAATACATGCACAGTGATGAAAACCCAAGTAAAATAAGAAGCCTTAACTCATGTGCTTTAAACTGATAATGTTTTAAAATTGTACTTGCTATTCGGTATGTTGTCAACGAAAATTTTTACGTAGATAGAGAGATATTCATAGGTTCAAGTTTTGATTTTAACGACCACAATTGATGATGATGCTCTACATCAAACCATAGATGAAGTCCGCTTTAAAATACGAAAGATACAATTTGTTTTCAGTTTTTGATTAAAAAAATTTTTTTCAAGTTTAAATTATAAATTGTGTACTCGATTTGAGCTTTGTTCTAAGGATAACATAGTTTATCATTCAATAATTATACTTGTAGTGCTTAAATGCTGTGCTTCTACAAGTAATTAACTGTTATTGTGGAAGGTATAGTGTTCAATTTATTTCGAATCGTGTACGTCCTTTTCATTTTATTTTGTTACCGAAAGGAAGATACACAAGGAAATACTCAAACCCAAAAAGAAAAACTAATAGACAAATCTCTTTTCTATATTTCCTAGGCATACACATCATCTCTATATTTCCTATCGGGTGTACATAAGAAACAAACTTGCAAAATCTGCACGAAGTGCTCTAACAACTTACATAAATTTTCGAAAAAGAATCATAGAAGAAGACACTTTAGAAATTAAAAAGCATATTTGTATATTAGCGTGATTGAAAAAGAACTTTGCTGAACGCTTTTATTGCATAACAAAAAAGAAAGGCGAAAACAGTACATGACATTTGATAAAATGTAATACCTATATAATAAGTGATAAAAGATAAGCAGCATTTAATATTATAAATTATAGACTAATAATACTAAATAAATGAAAACTATTTCCAAAACAGTTTGCAAAAGATTTTAAAAAAATTTTAAAACATATACAATTTATTTTATGCAAGTTTATCTTCACACAAGAATATAAATAATAGCAAATAAAATACATTTTATACAGAAACGTTCTATGGATAAATGCATTTGTACATAAGATAGATATGAAGTCACGATCCATATAGACTTTCTGTTTCATTCGACAGTGATTGTGGTCACATGTGGCTTAATGGTACGTATACATGATTCTAAATCGCTAGTTCACTTGTTCTAATCTCATTTCTATCATTTTAGATAAATCAACATTTCAACATTCCGTTGGCCTATAGTGAGGCAAAGACCATCGTTAGAGGGTATCGATGGCGACTCAGATCAAACCTGAGACGGATTGTAATATTTTTTAAAAATTTTAAATACTGAATCGAACGCGTCTAGACGCGATTCAATTTATAATCGCGTCTAACCGCAACTTAGTTTGGAACCGCGTCCCCAGTGAAACATTTCCTGCGTCTGAACGCGATTGGAGAAAATTGCGTCTAGACGCGATTCAGTTTAGAACCGCGTCTCCAGTGAAACATTTCTTGCGTCTAGACGCAACTTTTTCCAACCGCGTTTAGACGCGATTTTCTTCAACCGCGTCTAGACGCAGCAAATGTTTCACTGGAGACGCGTTTTTGTGCATTTCTCTGCTGCATTTTACACGCAACAAAACGCAACTCAGACGCGTTTTTATCGAAAAAAAATTTACATGGGATATTCCGAAAAATTAATAGATCATCTAAAAATGATAGTGTCAAAGCGCCAGGGTAGTCGAGTGTGGGTATGGATGTTTGAGAGAAAATATAATTCGCACTCACAACCACATTCATACCCACCCACACCCGCACCCGCACCCACACCCACACCCACACCCACACCCACCCACACCCACCCCACACCCACACCCACCCTACAAGATGCGCGAAACCCTGACTGAAAAGCGCTCCGACACCTGGGAAGGTTCCCTTGTAAGAAGCAAATGAATGAGGATTTGAGAAAAATTTTTATTGAATAAAGCAAAATGAAACGTTTTCAAGCTCTTGATAGATTTCCAGTAAAAGGGAGCAATCTCATTTGGGATGAGAGCGCTGGTGCCTGTTTTCGATCTGATCCTGTCCATGCTCACGTGCATTCAAACGCAAGAATCGACTTTGTAAATACTATGTAAAATTTGTATGAATTTCGCAATGATTTTTCTATCGGGTAGATGTGAGTGTGTAGGTAGAGGTAGGTGTGGGTGTGGATGTGGGTAAGAACTTTCTCTTTACGCACATTCCACACTCCTATCCGTACTTATATCCATATCCGACATAAAGAAGTATCTTTTGTCGAATACTGAGGTTTCTTCAATAAGAACAGCCGACCATAGTGAAATATTTAATTGATAAAAGTTGTCGTTAACAATTTTCATTAAATTTTATAGGGACATAGGCTTAAGTTATACGAAAATTTAGTTCAAATAACACTGAATTTGCGTCAATGTTTCAGGATTTTAATGAAGAGTCGTATTTGAGATAATAGCAGAAGTAACTGAAAATTGTATTACAGATACAGTATCGTCGGAGGTGCATTTTGTTATAGGTTAAACCTGGATCTCTATAAAAACGAATGGAAAATGCTAAGGAAAATTCTTATCTACTAAATATATATAATAAAAAGCTTCTTTGCTCCTGATAAGTCTCATATAGATATACTCTCCTCGTATAGCTCTCTCGAATGGCTAAAACTCAGACTGCATAGCTGTCAGTATTAAATATTAATTTAAAAATTGATAGCTGGAATACTTAGAAAGATTCAACAATAATTTCGAACTATTTTTTGTTTTACAACTTCAATTATATTAATAGTTAGAAAACTCTTTTTCTTAGATTTTTATAACTTGTATTTAACCTTATACATTTAAAGTCAGTTATTACAAAAGTTAAAATGCTCGCTATTGTCTGTAGCAAACTTACTGAGAGAAAGGAATTGCAGAAGATTGGTAACTAGTTGTGCTAGGATATTTCTTTGAGAGTGTGAGTGCAATCTTTCAAAGATTCCGTAAGACTCATACACATACCCAGCACCGAGATACATTCTGATACTCACCCTTCTCACTCATATCCAACATTTATGTTCTTCTAGGACAAATGTTGAAAGCTCTTCGAGCTTTCTTCAATTGGTGAGAGTTCACTGTACTTTTACCAATACATGAAGTAATGATAGGAATAATAATGTTACATAAAATAAAACAATGTAATTATCAATGAAAAAAGTATATTATGGTAGATAGCTTTTGTTATTATAGTGAGGCTCAAGAGCATATATGAATTCTATACTTCGACTCTAAGGGAACTGCATTAGAAGTTTTTGAAAAAGAAATGTCTTGATCGATTATTTAATGTTTTGTTCGATGTTGAAGTTTTTGTAAATTATTCATAGTTTGTGTGATCAATGGATGATCATCTCTTAATGTACGCTGATATTGTTTAATTGCTTGCTGATAATAATCAATAGAATTTGGATATAGTTTCCAAAATTCGTAGGCCATTGCAATTGCACTATAACTTTTACCAATATCTGGATGTGATTCGGGAAGTAATTTAAGACGAAGTTTTAACGATTGTTCGTAGTAAACAATCGCCTGTTTGTACTGTTTCATAGCTAAATAAAAATTTCCTTTTAATTCTTCAACATTAATAAGTCCTTCTTGATGATTCATTCGTAGAAATATTTTTTCACCTTTATCATATTCACCCATTTGAAGTAAAATATTTCCTAATGTTATCATTGATGCTTCTTCTCCAATATCTTTTTTTAAATATGCAAATAATTCTTTTAATTCAAAATCATCTTCACTACAAAGACTCATATTCATTATTGATAATTTATTTTTTTCATCAGACTCAATTTTATTAATACGAAATATTGATCCAAGCATAAATAAAATTTCTTGTTCATTTGGATAATAACTAATTCCTTCAATATCGGCAAAAGGTTTTGTTGGTAAGCAAGAATCAATTTCAATTTTAAATAATATACGACGAAGTTTTTCAGTAACAGATGTTTTCATAGCAAAGCTTCGTGCTTTCAACTCATTTCGACTTGTTGAAAAAAAACTATTGATTGAGATAAAACCGCCAATACTATTTTGCATTTGTTCAAATTCTTCTTTAGCAATAACTTGTCCACGATAAACATAAATCGGTTCACTTATCGTATTTGATGCTTTCAATTGCTGCATAGAATTCTGATACAATTCTGAAACTTGTTTTGATAATTCAGTTAGAAAAAATCGAAATGAAAATATCATATCAATTGATTGTTCTCTCAATGCTTTATTTAATATACGATAAAGAGATGATTCTCGAGTGTACCACCAAACAGCTTTCTCTCGTTGATATTTTTTTTTAAATTCTTTAATTATATTCAGTTCAGAAGAATTTCCAGTATAATTCTTATGCCAAGTTTCTATTAATTCTGTTTTAGCATCATCAGTATGTTTCATACGTAACAAAACATCAATTAATAATTGAAACCATAAAATCGAACCCATTTCTTTTGCAATATCTTTCGCTGTTGTTTCCTTAGTTACTACTGTACGATTTAAAATACTCATTGGAAGAGAATCTTCAGTTTTATTACGAATTTTTTGATCTTCAGTAATTTCTTCGACTAATTGGTCTCGTTTAGTGATCACTGATTTGACCTAGAAGAAAAAACAATACCATTCATATGAATGAGTTTAGGTCGAAAATTTGAAATTTCAATTTTACAAATTTTCTTCGAATAAACACTAACCTTTGGGTAATCTTTAGACCACTGTTCATGACGTACTTTATCACCACAATAAATATAAATACAATTAACTTGTTCAAAATCATGAATTCGTGGTACAATTTCCATACCAAATCCACCAGATACAATTAAAATAATTTTCTCATGGTGAATACTTTGAATATAAGTTTCACCTTCTTGTAAATTATCAAATGTTTTAAGATAATTAATACTTGTACGTAAAGCTTTATATGTCTCTTCGTTATCTTTTGTTTTATTAACATTTGCATCTAACCAAACAATGAGAAACGTTTCAAGAATTTTATTTGTTTCTGATTGATCTGCAGATATTTCAATCATTTCTGATATTGTTGACTGGTTCGATGTTTCTTTTGTTGATTTTTTTTCTAGAAACAAAAATTCATTTTATATTTATATATCTTTAAGATTTGTTGAAACTGTCAAAGCAATGAAACATTTCAATTTTAATTGTATAAGTTGAAATATTGATTAAAATTCTTCGTAACTTACTAGGTGATAAATTTTCAATTGATTGCTCGATTTTAGTGGTGTCTGGATGATAAGCAGGAAGTGATTGTGTAAAAATTTTATATGCTTTTTCATAATTTTCCAAAGCCAGATTGTTTGTTTCTTGTAGTTCATGTAAATTTGCAATATTTGCATAACATTTTCCCACTTGTGGATGATGATTTGGTAAATTTCGACATATATCTAATTGTTCATTGAAACATACATGTGCTTTTGAGTAATCATTCATTGATATAAAATAATTTCCTTGAATATCAGCAACATTTGATAAACCTTGCCAAACACGTTTCATGTTAGGATCATCAATTGATAGTTGATTTTGATATTTTTGATAATATTCTTTTGCCATATCATATTCTCCAATTTTAATGAAAAAATGAGCTAATGTAATTAAATTTGCTGTATCTTTAATTTCATATTTTATATAATCAATCATATTTTTAAGACGAGGATCATCTTCTCCACAAAGTGAAAGATTAATTTTCCATGTTTTCTCACTATCAGAGTAATGTACGTCATTCACTTGAAATATGGTACCCATCATAAATAATACTTCTTCGTCATCCGGATATTCACTGAATTTACTAATATCAGCATAAGGTAAGGTAACTTTTTTTGGTTCGACTAGAATCTCAAACATTGCCTGCACCTTATTACTATGCATTTGAACACCTTTAGCAAATCCAATAGCGATTTCTTTGTTTAGTGTAGTGCTCATTAGTGTTTGGAGACTGAGGAGTCCTCCGATTGCGGTTTGATACCATTCGAAGTCTTCAGGTGGCATAAGGCATCCTCGATATACAATCATTCCATGTTTACCGATCTTTCTTAGATATTGGTGATGTTCTTCTTGTAGTTGTAGATATACATGTTTAATGATAAAACGAAGTGCATATAAATCATTGTAATCCACAGAACTGCAGATTCTTTTGATTAATTTATAGAGTTCACATTCCCTTGTGTACCACCAAATAGCGCGTGATGGTTGAAATTCCTTCTCAAATTCATCAGCATATTTTAGTTCACTTGTATTTCCAACATAACTTTCTCTCCATAATCGTAGAAAATCATTTTTTGCTTGATCGATATCATTCATACGAATAAGTATTTGAATAAAAAGACGGAACCAAATTACGCTTTCATTATTTGTATCTTTAGTTGGAGATGGAGACTTAAAACCTAACCAATTTGACTCAGATCTCGATAAAATTCTTTTGATTATGTCATCAAGATTGCTTGACATATATTCAATCTAATGACAAAAGATTGGATAAAATTAATGATTTATGCAAAAAAAGGATTTATGCTCTCTGGCTCTAATATTAGATGCTCCAGAATGAAAATATTCGATAAGGATCATAATGTATTCGATGAATTAGGTAATATAGTCTTTTTCTGTGAGGTAATATTTTTGTGAAACACGACCGAAAGGAATGTTGAAGTATTTAGGGTACAGGTTTTGAACCGCCCGCACGTTTCTCTGTCCACAGACCATCCTAAATAATTAATCGATTAATTAATCATTTGAGGAGGATGGAACATATTTGTCTCACCTATTTTTCTGTACGGAAAATGTTTGCTCTACATTAAACTGTTACAGTATCCAAGGTGTTGGTGTAGGTACCAGAGCTCTGCACAGATCATATTTTTCAGGTCTGTGCGGTCTTCCAAACCCTAGTAATTTTTTCAAGCGAATACGATCATGATAAAATACTACAAACGAGTTGTGCAAATAAGGCACTAAACCTACTGCTCAACCCAAACCTGGCCTTCCTGTCATAGGCAACACTAGGGATTTTCAGACCCATGAAAGTCACAGATTCAAGCAGTTATGGACCTGTCTGGGCTGTGACTTTCATGGGTCTGAAAATCCAGGATGTTATTTATGACAGGAAGGCCAGGCTCAGATTGAGCAGTAGGTTTAGTGCCTTATTTGCACAACTCGTTTGTAGCATTTGATCATGATAGTATTCGCTTGAAAAAGTTATCAGGCCTTGGCAGGCCGCACAGGTCTGAAAAATATGGCCTGTGCAGGGCTCTGGTAGGTACTGTGCTTTCTTTTTCATCCACAGCCCACACCTATTCATTCCAACTCAGACTTACACTACAGTCATAGCAGACTTACACCCACACCCACATTTATATAATGGTACTTATCATTGGTATAATGTTTCTAATAGCAAGTAGGCACTATGCAAAGCAAAATGTAAAGACATTTTTAGATGTAAAAATACATAATATTATATAGTTGGCCTAGAATCAGAATGTACAGTGTGTGTTTTGTAGGAGAAGTTCGAAAAGTTTGATGAGTTAAAATTATCCTTGAAACATGATCGTATTATGATTTCTAGTGCTCGTTGAATAGGATTATTTTTCTGACTTCACTATCGTTTTCCTTTTCTTGTTGATATCAGTTCTTTTCTGGATATTTTTATGACACCTGTAGGTAAAATTGAAAACTAAAAGATTCAGTACAGGTTTGTTGAAATCCTATGGATGTGGGTAATAAAAAGAACCACGAAATTTTCAATAGGTCTTGCCATTTTTTCGATTTTCAAGGACAGTAAATTATTTCGTTTCATGTATGAGCTCTTATAATATTTTACTTTTGTGTAATGAATCTGCCTAAAAAATGAAGAGAAAGTAGTTGCTCCGAGTATTCTCTAATTGTAGATGCGTTGATCTTCGATTCTCCTTGGTATAGTAGATGCCAAAGCTGTGCATAGGATATTCTTTTCTGTAGCCTGCCCTACCATGACCTTGCTGAGTTTCACCCTGCCCTGCTAAGCTACAAAATAAAAAAGCAGAAACGTACCTTTCCCTGGTGGCTTTCGGACGATAAGGTACCCTGGCTAATCAAAACATTGTTTTGATTATAATTTCTGACTGAACTTGAAACTTATATTTTTTGATTGTATCCCCTAAAATTTTTTATTCAATGATGCTTTACAATAATAATATTACATAATTTGAATAATCGAATTTATGAATAGACTCTACATATAAATGCAAATATGAGCAAAATCATTTGTTAGCGACGTTACTTCGGAAAATTAAAATATGTGTATCTCGAGACAATGAGCTTTCTTAGATTGGATTTTTATATTTTGCATGGGCATTAAGTTACTCTAGATACCGTAAAAAAATCAGCGCTATGAAGCTTTGTTCAGAGGAGTTATTGATAAAAAACTACCGTTAGCGACGTGGCACAAAAATCTGTTAGCGCAATCCCTTGCGGGATTAAAAATGTGAAACACGATGGATCTGTTGTTACTGATTAAATGGAAATCGTTTTGTTCTATTTCTTTGCAATACATTTGTAGCTAACCGTTGATCTGATGCTTGAGAAGTACAGTTTCTCTGTCACGGTCTGTGATGGGTCCAAAGCCTGTCTGTCACGGTCTGTGATGGGTCCAGACCCTGTCTGTCACGGTCCGTGATGGGTCTAAAGCCTGTCTGTCACGGTCTGTGATGGGTCTAAAGCCTGTCTGTCACGGTCTGTGATGAGTCCAAAGCCTGTCTGTCACGGTCTGTGATGGGTCCAGATCCTGTCTGTCACGGTCTGTGATGGGTCTAAAGCCTGTCTGTCACGGTCTGTGATGGGTCCAGATCCTGTCTGTCACGGTCTGTGATGGGTCTAAAGCCTGTCTGTCACGGT